CCCAAAACAAAACCCTAAACCCTACACCCTAAACCACAAGCCATAGATTCAATAGATCTGACCTCGAGACTTTTTGGTTGATGGTCTCGGGTCTTTACCTCAAGATCTGAGATCCTAAATCCATCTGACAGCAGCAAACCCCTAGCCTTAACAGAGGGGTCTGTAAACTGAGTAATAACTTTTTCTGATATCCCCGCGAATACATAGCCCAGACCCTGTTCTATGTCCTAAACCGAACCCTAAACCCTAAGCGCATGCTTCGACGACTTTACGAAAAGATTCCATCCGTTGTTTCAAAGCCCCAACACCACAAATTGCGAGCATCCTGTCGGAATTCCCAAACCACGGAGAGTAGGCGGACGTATATAGAGTACCCAAATGGCGACACATAGGATATCGGCTGAGTACAACTATATGACTCATCTAGGCAATTATTTTCAAAAGCTCTACAGCGACAAGAACCTAAGCCTAAGCTCAAACCGCTAAACCCACGCTAAGCAGGCAACCAAGCAGCGCAAAGTGCGGCAGAAGCTCCGTGCGCTGGATATTATGCCCAAGGCCCCCGTTTCGCGGTTTCGTGGCTTATGGCTGGGCTTCAGAGTTTTTGCTTAGTCAGCGGCCTGGTAGCAGTATCTCCGCATGGTCCCTGTGTGTTGACTAGAATGTACCCCAGCTCCCTATTCTAATTATCAAGACCCCTTTATTACGAGATGGGGGGCTGGTTTTTCTCAGGGGTTTGTGTTTTTTTTTCGTAAGGGTTTCAGGCCAATGTCGCCCACCCCTATGCAATCTACCATGTCCTGATTGCAGTGTCCTTAGAAGAACCCTAAGTGGTGAAGCCCTGCCCAAACCCAACGTCGTCAACCCCAAACCGCTAAACCCTAAACTCTACAGTAGCCCAAGCGTTGTGTCCTGACCAGGATATCGACGAGCTCTGGGACATCCTTGTTGCTTGGATTCAAGTCTCCCAGGGCTAAGGGCTCCTCTTGTTCTGCCTGTCTTAGGCGTTGGCAGCTACTTTGGTAAGGGTTCACGTTCTGGTAGTTTGGGGGTTGCTCTAACCTCGATACCCTGGGCCCCCAAACCCTAAACTTTAAACCCTAAACCCTAAACCTTTAATTTTAAACCCTGAGCCCCAAAGTCTCGGGCTGGGGCTGCTATGTGCAGAGTCTTCTTGCTTCGGTGTCTCGTGGCAGAACCGGTGGATGTAGTCTTCCGGGTTCAGAGTTTAGCTGGCCTTCCATGTTCAATACTCACAGGATTTTGAGTCTGCAGTTTCGGGTTTCGGGTTGGGGAGCAACAGGGCGGAGTCGCGCTGTCCTTTTTTTTGGTGGCTGTGTCCTGGGCCCCTCCAAGTGATCTATAAGAATCATGGTCAATAGGGATCCTAGTGTTTGCCCTCAAGGTTTAGGGTTTAGGGTTTAAGGTTTAGGGTTTAGGGGACATATGTTGAGAAGGAGATGCTCAGTCCAATGTTTCCGTCAAACCGCACGCCCAAGGATATCCGCACCCCCGAAGCCCGAAACCATAGGGTTCGGAGTTTGGGGCCTAAAGGATTAGGACTACATGCCAGGCCGTATCGGGGTTGGCGGTTCTGGGCGAAGCAACGGGATCCGTGAACCCGAAACCCTAAACCCCTAAA